CTAAGAGCCTAAACCATCCAATAATGCTATTTTTACAATTTTTTCCGAACAAGACGTTCTCTTTTCTCTCAAAAATTTTTTGGCGGGAAAAGTGTTTTTTTTTTTTTTTAAATTGTACAGTGATGCGTTGACACGTGACACAATGTAAAAAATGATGCACATATAGCAAGATTGGTTTTTTTTCTTTAATCAAACTTCATTATTGTCAACTCCATCCACCCCCATTCCCTACCACTGAAATAAGAGTAAAAAACTTGCGGACCAAAATGCTTTATTTTAAAGGTCATGAACAATTTACTATTGAAGGGTAGGTTAGAGACCAATGGTACAATTTTTTCTAAATTATTTTGTTTCTACTCCTTGTCCAACTGTGGCCTTAGAGCATCTCAATTTGGAATATAAAATAGATATAAATTGTGATTTAGATTTTTAAACATAATGCAAATTGTAATTTTCTATAGAAATTGTGAAAAAAGATATAAATCTATATCTTTTTTTTTTTTATATCACAAGAGGTCAAAGGTGAATTTAATTTTTTTTATTAAAACAAAATTTAAATTTAGATTCATAAATTAGGATACAAAAGTAATTTTGAAAATATTAATTTACACTCAATTTTACATACTCCAAATGCCTTATGCACTCGTAAACTCTTGTCTACTTTTTGTGGAAAATTTTCCAAGAAAAATGTATTAAAATTTTAATGGGACCAAACGGGAGATATTCCAATAAAATAATATTAAACATAAATTAAAATTTTTTTTAAACACACATTCTCTATTAATCTACTATTCCAAAATATATTTTTACGATAAAACGGGGCTCAAACAAGCTNAGGAGAATTTTTGGGTTTATATGTAATATTATTTTATTAATATAATGTGTGGTTGAAATGAAGAAAGAGAAATAGAATGAGAAAAAAATGGGTGTCAAACAAGGGCTTAAATTGTTAATAAAACTCCAAAACATGCTCTAGCTTTTGTTTGATGGCTATTATTTTGAAAAAATGGAGTTTTGAATAGTCATTTTTTTGAAGAATGTTTGGTTAAAAATTTAAAAATAAAATATGTTTACGTGAGAATGGAAAAAATTTTATTTTCAAATAAATAAGACAAATACCACTGGACCATCTTTCCATTCTAAGTCTGAAACTGTTACGGCTCCCTGGGTCCCAACATTTAATCTCTACTTCTACTAACATGCAATGTCTGCATCATATCTCAATTGACCACAACTTGGGGGAAGAAATTAATTATGATTTGAGAGCATGCTAATGATGTGCTTTACCCAAGAAAAAAAGTAGAGATAAAATTCTTTATGTAATTTGAGACTGTTGTTAGTGGAAGCAAACTAGGCCAAGGAGAATCTTGGTATCCTCATAAAGTATTTGAATCTTGTTTCTTTCTCCCCATATTACAAATCTTGTTCCATTAAAAGATTGAATATTTCTCACACCCCAGATAGTCCCCTTCTCTTCTTGAAAAAGAGCACCCCACCAAAGATACTGATATTGCTCTCCTTTTTATCTCTCTCAGTTAATATCCACCTCATAAATTTATTGTTTAAACCTGCTTCCTCATCTGTTTAGTGTTACACTACCGTTATACATGTAACAATTTTCATTTTTCTCCACCTGTTTCTGGCAGCTGAAATGGGTGCGTTTTGGCTCAACAACTTGTTTTGTAGGATGACTTTGAAGAATTTTCCGGGTAAGAGCTGTGGATTGTATTGTTTTAAAAGGTTCAGCGATGTNTGTGGATTGTATTGTTTTAAAAGGTTCAGCGATGTTTTAGTTGTCGTATTGTTTTTGTGTTATGCCTGTTCTAGTGGATTCTGTGATACTTTTAACATGGTTTCAATGCCTCTTGGTTTTGAGGTTAGTGGTCTTGATAGAAATGCGAATTGGGTGTCTGAAAATGGAGTTTTTGCATTTGGTTTCTTGGAGAAAGATGGTGATGATGCTGATGAGTGTGTGGTTGGAATTAGGTACAATTTAGGGGATAAAGCTGCAAATTTTCCTGTGTGGACTGTTGGTGGGGGGCTTAGGGTTGCAAAAAACTCTACATTTAGGCTTGCCATGGATGGGAGGCTAGTCTTGATTAATAACCCAAATGGAATTATTGTTTGGAGTAGCAATACATCTTCTTTGGGTGTTCAAAAAGCTAGTCTTTTGGACAATGGAAACTTGGTTCTTCTGGGCAATAAAGATGAAGTGATTTGGGCGAGTTTTAGTAGTCCAACAAACACTTTACTTCCTGGGCAGTCACTTCATTACCCTCTTAGCCTTAGAGGTCCTTCCATGATATCGATTTTGAGTTACTATAGTCTGGTGATTCGCCAGACGGGTGAACTTGAACTTGTGTGGGAACACAATATCACCTACTGGAGGAGTCACTTTAGCTCCTCTGCTATTGTGAGGGAAGCCAGGTTTGATTCTGTTGGCATTTTTGGTCTGTATGATGATGGAAAAAAAGTTGTTTGGTCCGTGTCAAGTAAGGATTTTGGAGACCCTTCTGTGACTTTGAGGCACCTTAGGGTTGACCAAGATGGAAATCTGAGAATTTACTCATGGGACAATGTAAGTTGTACATGGAAAGTAGGTTGGCAAGCAGTGAAGGATCAATGCAATGTGTTCGGTTCTTGTGGTTTATACAGTGTGTGTGGTTATAATTCTACGGGTCCTGTATGTGATTGTTTGTCTCCAGATTCCTTGCTAAGGAGTATTGGTGCTTCTGCAGTTGATGCAGGTGGTTCAGGGTGCAAGAAAATGGTGGATTTGGGAAATTGCAAGATGCATACAAGCATGTTTATAATGAAGCAAACAGTTCTTTATGGTCTTTATCCTCCACATGATGTTGATATGTTGTTGAGTGAGGAAGCTTGCAAAGAGTATTGTTCGAATGACACTACTTGCATTGCTGCAACATCAGCAAATGATGGTTCGGGTTTATGCACAATCAAAAGAACCAGCTTTATTAGTGGGTACAGGAACCCCTCTGTTCGTTCCGTTTCATTCTTGAAGGTCTGTTCGGTTCCACTGGCTGTTGCAGCGCATGGTGGTGATCCCCTTAGTAATTCACAATCAGTATCTTTGTCAACGGGTGGACTTAGTTCTGAAGGGGTAAGTGTTAAAAAGTTTATTGGAGCTATAGCACTGATAGTTTTACTCACAGTATCAGTACTTGTGAGCATTCAATTTTCATTGTTTTGGTTCATTTATCATAGACGAAAAATTAAGGCTCAGACAAGGATTCCCTTTGGGAAGGATGCTCAAATGAACCCGCGTTATAGTGTACTTATCAGATTACCGTTTGAGGAAATAAAGGAACTTACAAATGGTTTTGCTAGTCCACTTGGCCAGTCTGTTTTCAGAGGCACTCTTCCAAATAAAATACCCATAGTTGCTAAAGTTTTAAATGATGTAATTGTATCAGAGAAGGATTTTCGAGTTGCAGTTTCTACACTGGGTGGGACGCATCATCGAAATCTTGTATCTGTTAAAGGCTTCTGTTTTGAACCAAGACACAAGATTTTACTGTACGAGTATGTTCCAAATGGTTCTTTAGACAAGTGGCTTTCCAATTCCAAGCACAATCAACAAGAACAGATTTCGCATAAAAGACTCGATATAGCCCTTGGAGTGGCACATGCTCTTGCTTATCTGCATTCAGAATGCCAACAATGCATTACTCATGGCAATTTAAGTCTAGGGAATGTCTTGCTTGATGAAAACTTGGCTCCTAAGCTGACAGATTTTGGACTTCAGGGCTTCCTCATAAAGAAAGCGGCTTCTTCTTCAGAGTCTCCATCAGAAAGGGACATTTACATGCTTGGACAAATGTTCGTGCAAATTGTTACTTGCAAGAGAGAGTTTTCTGGAGACAATGTGGAGCAAATACTCAATTATGTGTATCAGGAAAACAAATTTATGGAGAGTGATAGTTTGAAAATGATGGAAAGAATTGCGAGAATTGCGTTTTGGTGCATGCAAAGTAAAACATTTTTAAGACCTTCGATTGGCGAAGTGGTTAAGGTACTCGAAGGAACTCTTTCAGTTGATCGGCCTCCATCATTCGGTCTACCTCAAAGGCATGACAGTATTATAGAGTCAGAAGTTGTGACGGAAATAGAAGTAGAATAATAGGGGAACCTGACTTTGATCTGAAGTAGGGAGAAAACTTTAACTGTATCTTGCTCTAGACCTGGTTGTTTAGTCTAGGAAAGGAGTTTGTTGTTTTAGAGTTAAAAAAAGATTTTGCAATCTTGAACCCTGGAATGTATTGGAAAATCTCTCTTATTTGTAAGCAACCTTTCGTTTTAAGCTAAAAGAATTCAGTATTTTTAATTTGTCTTGTTATATGATCACCCCTGGCTTTTATTCTGAGAGTGTTATTTCTACGAGTAGTAATATCTTTAGTTCATTGTTCTTGTTTAGAAACATGTATTTTGGAAGCCGTTACTATTTCTAGATCTATTTCCTTCACTTTCCACTGTTACTTCCGATTTTTTCTTTCAAAGTAACAAATGTGTTGTGTTTTCCAGCAAGCTATCTGAATCGAACCAAACAGTTGAAAAACAGAATAAAGCAAGTGCTGAGCACTTGGTTAAAAATGAGGAGAAGAGAGGAAATTAATCTGTTTTCATTGATATATAATTACAAAGTATAGAATTGGAGTGATGAGCCAGTAAAAAGGAATATATTCAGTACACGTGAGAATCAATATGGTTGTAACAACCAATTGTGGTCCCAAGGTGCACAATAGCAGCTCTCAAAATCTTGGCGTGAACATTGCCTCAGCTGATGGTTGTAGGCCTCAAGTAAATATTTTAACATCCCCCCTCAATCTGGAGTTTATTCTTTTACTCCAAGCTTGTTCTTGAGGAATAGAAATCTGGTTTGAGCAAGAGGTTTTGTCAACAGATCAGCAATTTGGTCTGATGAAGGAACATATTGTATCTTCAGTTTCCCTTCAAGAACTTTATCCTTGACAAAATGTATATCTAATTCAATATGTTTAGTTCTCGCATGGTAAACTGGATGAGAGGCTAAGGTACTTGTACTAAGATTATCACACCAAAGAATAGGAGATGAAATTGGTTGTAGTTTGATTTCCTTAAGCAAGGACTCAATCCACGTTATTTCAACAGAAGCTTGTGCCAGAGCTCTGTACTCAGATTCAGTGCTTGACCTTGCCACTACTTGCTAATTCTTTGAGGACCAAGCTACTAACGTATCACCAAAATATATATGCAATAACCAGTTGTCGATCTTCTGTCATCAGGACAAGAAGCCCAATCTACATCAGCGAATCTAGTGATATCATTTTGTCACTTCTTTGTGTCCATAAACCTTGTTCAATCGTTCCTTTCAAGTATCTAAACATCATTTTCATTGCCTTCCAGTACACATCTTAAGGATTTTGTAGAAATTAACTCAACTTGTTCAACGCAAAAGTTATATCAAGTCGTGTATGTCCCAAATATTGCAGTCCACCTATCGCACTTCTGTACAAGGAAGCGTTCACCATTTTCGTACTTCTGTACAAGGAAGCCGTCATATTTCATTCATATACGGGATTGTTGGAAAATGATTTTAATACTAGTGAAATTGGTCAACTTTGAGCCCAAATTTCAGTGGGATCCCTGCCTTAATGTCAAGGGACCTAACATATGCATGTTCTACGGGACCTAGCATATTCATGTTCTACTCCACAAGAGGATTAACGTGATATATTTA